AGCAGAGGGCGCAAATTTCCCATTCTTTCGAGGAAAAAAACTGTTTGGATGAAATTAGTGTTTCTACTAAGGATGTCTTTTACCTTTACTAATACAGGTTCATCCCCTTCAAATCCTCCTCTTACTCCTTCATAATATTATAATTCCCAAAATGTTTATTAAAAAGATTAAGATTTTTTTAAGCTTCTTTAAGACAAGAAGGCTAAAATGTTCTATTCTAAATGGCTAAAATTGAACAGTGCAGGCTTCGCAGGGGCGCAGTGGTTAGAGCTGTTGCCTTGGTCTCAGTAATCTTGTATTCAATTTTAAATGCGTTATTTGTTACCATGGCAACACAAGGAACTACATATCACTTTAACCAAGTCTCATAGGAATGAATATTAAAAAGCTGAATATTGAGCCAATATCAGACTCCTGTTTTTGATCGTGTTGAACTATCTGTACTTAAAACTAGAAACACGTTCAATTTGATTGACCGTCAGAAGGTGGGAAAGTGCCCCGCTCCCTCCCAGCACCCTGATTGGTTGAGAGAGGTCAATCAACTTCTGGCTAAATGGAATTACACACCCACGAATGTGAGACATCAAATCGATCGGCTTGGCCTAAGGAATCTATCCATCTACATATAAATCCATACATGCTTTTATCCATTCATCCATCCATCCAATAATCCATCTAACATCCATCTAGGGCTGCAACAACGAATCGATAAATTCGATGAAAATCGATTACTAAAAGCGTTGGCAACGAATTGCGTCATCGATTCGTTGTGTCGCACAACTCTTCCAAAAGCGCCCCCCCCCCCCCTTCCCGCCCGCCGTTGCGCGCAGACCAGAGCAAGTCAGATCAGCGCGAGGGAGAGCCGCAGATCAGCGCGAGGGAGAGCCGGCAGATCAGCGCGAGGGAGAGCCGCAGATCAGCGTGAGGGAGAGCCAGTACCGGCAGATCAGCGCGAGGGAGAGCCGGCAGACTTGCGCTGCTGCGAACCGGTTCTGCATTGTCGCGCAGCGATCCAGGCAGCTGCTTCCAGCGCACGGTCCATTCTCAAAGTGGCGCAACCAAAAAACTATAATTAGCACACGATCGTTCATGTCCGCACATGTTCTCTATTTTCTGTCTTATTTGTGCCTGAAGTGTGCTACTGCGGAGCTCATCACCTGTGCTGTGGTGATTTCACCTCACGCAGCATCGAAAACGCGCTCTGCGCTTTTCGGTCAGGAGATCCCTTTGATCTGCTCAAAAGTAACTGATGAGGTGAAAAGGTAAGAATCCAGGCAACAGATTTTCTGGAGAATTATGAGGAGATGCAGGAAGATGAGAGACAGACAGGACAGGAAAATAGTTAAATAAAAACAAGAAAACAAAACAAAGTGTTGAAAAGTCAAATGTAGGTAGATTTATCTCCACGACACGTTTTTACCAGTAAAAAACAATAAGTTATACACATGTCATAATTATACATCTGATACAATTCAGATCACCTTCAAAACTCAGTCACACACCCAGGGCCGTTTCAAGACATTTTGGGGGCCAAGGCAAAATGCCCCCCCCCCCCCCCCCCCCCCCCCCCCCCCCCCCCCCCCCCCCCCCATAACTGGGCTCCCCAGAAGCCTCTGTGTAATTCATGCCCTCTCCAGGAGTGTTAGTTATACGGTGTTTATAAAAGCCCCTCAGACATTACTGACATGTTCTAATATTATCAGATGAAAAACTAAATTATCAGACATGCTGTCTCATCTGCTTCTTTTAAAAACTTGCAAAAAGTAACAAAACCATTTGAAAGCCACTATTTGTGGATTCTCTGAAAGTTTCCATGGAGTGTGTGACAACTTATTTTTTCGTTGATCCTATCGGCTAATCTCACAGCTGAAACAAGCATCCTTAATAATCTGTGCACAGGAAGCTTACCGATGCTGTAGTAAAACAAAAGGTATAATAATTTATTATTAATAAAACCTTGTTGCAGCACTAAAGCAGAAAAATTAGATTTTGCATTAAATATGCAAAATATTTACATATGAATAGTTTTAGAGCCCTTTAATTGGCAGAATCTGATATTAATTTAGTTCTTACAAAAAATGGGTCCCAACATGGTTTGTGTGGCGTTGCCATAGTGTGACGTCATAGGCACATATCCCCTGTCCTCTTGTTTGGAAATGGAAATATGGTCACCCTACATTAAACAAACTGTCCACCCGGGCTTTTGCGCTGCACAGAGACGCTTCGCTGCCTACGACTGAATGTCAGTTGAGAGTCAGTCTCATGCAGACTGACCAATGAAGAGAGGGCCTCAAGTTAAGACCCTCTCCTCATTGGCCAGTCCACACGAGGTGGGTCAAAGGTTACTCTGGGCGGGTTAAGTGTTGTCAGGCATTCAAGTATTGAGTATATTTACTGCATATTACAGTAAAATATTCTGTATGTGACCACATTATGGTGATCCTTGGGTCGTGATGATGGAGCCCTTGAATATTGTTGCCCAGGGTACAACAAAGTGTTAATCTGGCCCTGGTTCCGCCGTCACATTCCCGCAGAAACTGGTTGATCACACCGGGGCCAGACTACTAGCATGTGGTTTTACAACCACAATGTCCTCAGAAGCAAAAACGCTTTTAAAAGGGAGGGAGGAGTCCTAACTGTTGCTGCAGGCGTGTTGTGTGAGAGTGCAGTTATATACTGGTTAATATATTTTTGGGTTCAGTTGCTTTCATGTGGCCTAATGTGATTCTATTTGGGATCATTGGAATGATCAGCAGCATTTCTTGATGTGACTTTATGGCAGTTGCCCAGGGCATCATCGCAAGGAGGATGGCATTCATTTACTTTTGTTTTATTTGGTATTTTTTCAGTCAGTTTTGGAAATAGTGATCAATTTTGATTAATTCACAGCCTATGTTTAATTACATTTAAAATAAATGTGAACAGATGAGATCAAACAAAACAGATGAGAATTGCCCTTAAGCTGTTTAACTTGGACCAAGCATTTTAGGTCACAGATAGATGTAGCTTAGGGTCTCTGTCTATACACCTTATAAGACAATTTAGGTGATGGCATGTTGTTTTTCTGCTATTGAACTGTTTTCTAATAATGTTGTGTTAAATAAAGTGAAGGAAGGAGAGAAATAACGTTTCCCTAGCAGTTTTTAAAAATTTCCTCATGTAATCCGATTAATCGTGTCGAGACCCCATCCGATTAATCGATTATCCAAATAATCGTTTGTTGCAGCCCTACATCCATCCAACAATCCATCCGTTATTTCATTAATCCAACCATTCATCCATCCCATATCAAATCTAAACACATGCTAATCTATCAGTTTCAGATATCAGCAAGTATTTCTAAATTCACAGTTCATCCAATTGTAAAAATGTACCCGTTAAACTATTCTCATTCAAATGCCAGCTGTTTAACATTTCAAATTTTGAGTTTTTAATAAATGTTCAAAGATTAAAGTTTTCTGCTGTTTAGCATTTTTATCCATTCTTCACCTATATTCTGAGCGTTATTACACTTGGTGATTTTTTCTTCTAAATCTTTAAATTCATTCAGCTCATTTTGACAGTTTAGCTTAGTTTCAGCTTCACTTCAGCTATTCAGCAGCTTCAGCAATCCGTTTCTGAATTCGGCTTATGCTACTCATTTCACAGTTCAACTAAATATAAAAATTTAACTGTTAAACTAGTCCTACTCAAACAACAAGTGTTTAGACATTTTTGCTGTCCAGATTTTTAAATAATGTTCAGATTTCACTTTTCTGCTGTTTAGGATTGTTTTCTCCGTTCTTCACTTTTTGTGCTTTATTTACATTTTGGTGATTTTTGCTTCTAAATCTTTCAAAACATTCAGCTCATTTTAACAGTTTTGCTTAATTTCAGCTTCAGCAATTAATTTCTGAATTCAGCATATGATGCTAATTTCACAGTTCAGCTAAATGTAAAAATTAAACTGTTAAACTAGTCCTACTGAAATAACAGGTGTTTAGACATTTTAGCTGTCCAATTTTTTTAAACAGTGTTCACAGATTTGAGTTTTCTGCTATTTAGGATTAGTTTTCTTGATTCTTCACTTACTTTTTGTGCTTTTTTTGCTTCTTTGTGCTTTTTGCTTTCACATCTTTCACTACATTCAGCTCATTTGACAGTTTAGCTTAGTTTCAGCTTACTTCAGCTATTCAACAACTTCAGCAATCAGTTACCAAATTTAGCATAAACTGCTAATTTCACAGTTCAGCTAAATGTAAAGATTAAACTGTTAAACTTGGCAAAATGAAATAACAGGTGTTTAGACATTTAAGCTGTCCAGATTTTTATACAATGTTCACAGATGTAAGTTATTTTTTTTGCTATTTAGCATTATTTTTCTCTATTCTTCACTTACTTTTTGTGCTTTATTTGCTTTTTGGTGCTTTTTGCTTCTACATCTTTCAAGACACTCAGCTCATTTTGACAGTTTTGCTTAATTTCAGCTTCAGTTCAGCTGTTCAGCAGCTTCAGCTTACAGTTTCAGCTATCCAGCATTCAAACAGCATTTGTGCAATGAATGCAATTTTTTTTGTTTGACTTACGATCAGACAATTCACACACACACACACACACACACACACACACACACACACACACACACACACACACACACACACACACACACACACACACACACACACACACACACACACACACACACGCGTGCACATACACACATGCACACACACACACGCACATGCGTACACACACATTTGTTATTTCAGCTTTTAAGGGAAACATAGTTGCTTGCATGGGATGAAGGAGAAATACTTCATGCCATCTTTTTCAGGGATTTTAAGAACAATCGTCATCGTCACAAGGTTGCCTAGCAGCCAGTGAATGCCAGCATTAAAGTAGTACTGATCCTGTCACTGAGCATAGCATAACAAATTTATTCTCTATATTCTGATGGAATTGATTTGAAACGAATTATTGTGTGCCTAAGATGATGCAAACACACTCGTTTGTTTACTCACTGTTGTGTACTCAAAGTAGTAGAGGCAGTTGTCGGTCAGAATGAACCATCTCCTCTTCCACGTCTTCACTCGGCCACCTGTTGGGGATAAAACATTTGAGTTCAGACTGAGGAGTTGCCTGATAGAAGTGAGCCCCCCCCCCCCCCCCCCCCCCCGCACCACGAGCCACATCTGGTTCTGATCCGTGTCCTCGGGCTGCACAGAGCCTCCAGCACCCTGCCCCCACTCCCCAGAGACTAATGGTGGTGGAGTTGGGGGTTGGTGGGTTGAACCCTGAGTTACCTTCCAGGATGTATCCCAGGCAGGGTGACAGTTACAGATGCTATCAGAGAGGGAGCTCTGTGATAAAATATTTCTAACAGGATAAATGAAAGCCTCCTCGTTTACAGCACAACTAAACATATGAAGACAAGGATAAAATACATTAGTATGCAACGCTAAATCTCTCCATCTGCCTCTGATTAACGGGATTAGTGGATGTTCCGTTAATTACACCATCAGTGATGCAATCTGCGTCTTTCCATTGTTATTGATACATGATCTGCAACATGTCGGCCATGATGACCTGTTTGCTGACAAAGCAGAGGGTTACTGATGGACCCAGTGAGACACATGTTAGTGAAGAATAAACAGAACTCTTCACTAATCCACTCCAGCCCTATGGGTGATGTCATCGTCCATTACTAACATTGATTATGAAGCACAACACTCCATTTTATTGCAGATTTATGATTTAGTCATTTGTGGAGGGACATGTACAGATGTGTCTTTTGTCCCACACACTGTAAAACTGTCTACATGACAGCGTTTTGACATGCTGTCCAAGTGTGATGCTGATGGGTTCAGTCATAACAGCAGGCTCAGTCCTCAGCGGTGGTAGAGTGCCATGGTGGATCTCTGTGAAGCACGCTACAGGGACGACACAGAGTCCAGAAGATCAAATACACAGTATATTAGTGTGTTTATGATGGGTTGAAGGGACTATTGCTGCCATCTGAGGGGTTTATAGAGCACGGTCTAAAAAAGAGGACTTATCCAGTGAGCAGCAGATGTGTGGATGAAAATGAGGTCCGAGGTCGGAGAACGGTTCTATAGCCGCTGGTTCCTCCCAAGGTCTGCAGAGCAGCATCTCTGAACCACAACATGTGGAACCTAGAAGCAGATGGACTCCAGCAGCAGGAGGCCACACCAGGTGTCTCTCCTGCCAGCTAGGAACATAAAACTAAGGCTATGATATCATGATGTCACGTCAGTTTGGACCATAACCTCAGGGGAAGGTTTAGAACTCCTTGTTGAATCTGGGTTAGGGTTAGAAGAATTAATTACATGAAGATTTAAGGTGGTTCTGAAGGCAAAAGGGGGTCCAACCCAGAACTAGAGAGGTGAGCCTAATAAAGTGGCCGGTGGGTGTTGTTGGGGCTGACCTGATGAAGGGCAGAGCTGGAGCGACATTTGCTAACGTGACAAAAATGCCCTGGCAAGTGCAGCTGAGTTAATAGCGAGCAAAACAGGAAGAGAGCAGATTTCATGACAAAGCAGTGAGAGGTACCGAGGCCCGCAGGGCGGCAACAGGAAGGACGATGAAGAGGGACAAGGGTCTTCTTTATTTCGCTGCATGACCAGCCACACAGCCGTACACGTCAGCTCCCACAGCGCAAACTCCAGCCGCTCGAGCATGGCTGTGTGCTTTAGCTGCACAGGGGCTGCATGACGTGCTGGAAAGTTTTTGTTGAGAGCGAAGTTTTTTTCTTTCTTTCTTTTTTTTTTTTTAACAAACGTGTGTTTAAGACTCTGCAGAAAGGATTGACACATCACAAGCATGCGGTTCAAACTGAAAGTCAAACGATTCATTTGAGATTTATGATCTCTGAAAATGATGAAAAAATTACAAAAGCTCTCCTTTTAAAAAACTGCAATAAAATAGAGGATATAGAAAAGAGGGTGAGAAGTTTAAACGACCTGCACGTCATCCAGCCCCTTTCAGAGCCACAAGAGGAATGCAGTCGGTCCCCATGCAGACCAGAGAGCTACAATTGGGCGTGCCATCCCCCTCACAATGCTACCAAACACAGCAGTCCTCTTACAGCTCTGACACCACAAGCTGATTTTATGAGGTGGCTAGCATGTTGAGGGGCCTGGTGGGCTGAGGAGATAATGCTGGCATGAAGGCACTCTGGGATGAACCGAGAGCACGGAGGAGGACGGAGTGCTACCTACCTCCTGATACAAAGATTTTAGAGGGAACAGTCATCACAGAACAGAACAAAAGAACATAACAAAGGGTGAGAAGCAGAAAGGACAAAGGTCACCATGGCAGAGAGGTGGAGAGAAGCTGGAGGTGCTTGCTAACAGCTAGCTCAAAGTGAGATGAGACGGGGCAAAACATGGAGGAGATTCATAGGATGAAAGACAAAAATATTCCGGTTCAAAACAGGTATGAGGACAGTTTTCAGGCCAAAAACGAGGTTTTGCATTTTTTTATGTTAACTACTAAACTTAAAGGTGTAAAAGAGAGACAGATGAAGATTGAGCTCAAGTCGTAAGTTAGCCAATCAGCAACCGAGCTCAGGTGGCGCTAAATGCTCAGATAAACAACAGCATCAACATGCAGCAGGACAACAAACAAAGTAGAGAGTGGTAAACCTTTATCTCAGTCAGATGGAGGTGAGTGTTTGGTAATGACGATTCAAATAAAGAAATTCACATACACTTATCACAGACATGAGCATAATGGCAAACCAGTGCCTTCTACTTATTTAAGCTGCTTTTTTGGGGTGGAATAATAAAATCACTTCTTTACCTCTTAAACAAACAACTGAAATGAGTTTTATAGTCGAAGTAGGTTTATAGCAATACATATCTCCACTTTCAGTGTTAAATAAATTCAGCTGAATAATCCAAAATGGCAAAACATGTCAAGGTCATTTCACTTCCTTTTAACTTCCTGTTAGCGTCAATGAGTTACTGCAGCGGGAGGCCGTGACCCTGATGTGACAGGGAACTAGTTCACGTGGTCAGGAACCACCAAGGCACTGTTCTGCCATGAACTGGAAGCTGCTGGTTCCAGTTGATTAACTTTGCCATCTACAGTCGTCACACCTTGGTTCAATAAATAAGCCTCTTCTCTAAAATCCACAACTTCAAGCTTTATTCATATTTATAAATGACTATGGAAGCTAATAAAGATAAAAAAAAACATTTCAGGAAGAAATTTTCGGGAAAGGTAAAATGTTAATGGGATAAATTCAAGCACAAGTTTCCTAACCCTAACCAATGAGTTTTTAACACTTTAAGCTATTGATTTCAATCTGATTTGAGTGATTCTTGAGCCATGAACTTTAGCAACTTTACGCTGGACAGCACTCTGTATCCCTCTGCTGACCAGAAACTGCACTTAACAGTTTTGTGGTTCAGGTAGGAATAAATGGTTTGATTCCTTGCTAGGCCCTGCTGATTAGATTATATATCATATTTTACTTTGTTTAACATAAAAGGAAACTTCTGAATTTAATGCACTCTTTAGTAAGTTCAATCGATTGATTGTTTTGTAAACTGAACTGAGATCATTAATGTAGTGAATTGGCAATATATGAACAAAATGACTTGAATTAAATTGGATAAAATTAGGTGAATAAAAACTAACTAAACCCAACTAACTCTGCCGGAGTGTCCTTTTTTGGTCACTTCTGCTTCCACCTTTAGACAAATCAATGTTTTCACTTGCTTAGTAAATCATGGCTGACCACATTTTGTTATCTACTCGGTGCCTCACTATACTGTTAGTTTTCTGCTCTAGTTTTTGTCACCAGGGACAGCAGTAGGTCAGGAGGTTGCAGGTTTGATCCCGGCTGGTGGTGGTCAGAGAGAATAGTGGTGCCTGTGTTCGGCAGGCCTCGCCTCATCTGTGCGCCCCAGGGCAGCTGTGGCTACAACGTAGCTCATCCCCACCAGCGTGTGAATGGATGAATGAATGACTGTGTTGTGAAGCACCTGGAGGGGTTGTAGAGCCCTTAGAAGGTGCTACACAAATACAGACCGTTTAACATTTACCTCACACTTAGTAACTCCTGGTTAGCCTTCCTACCTGATCTCAGTTTTAATTATGCTATTTTTAGTAACAGTTTCACAGCTTTAGTTCTGGTCTGCAGGTCATCGTACCAGTTTTTAGTCATCTTACACTGTATATGTAATTTATTTAGCGTCTGCCAGATAAATAAACATAAACATCAACACATACAGGATTTGACACAGCAGATGTTGTTCATGTAGCAGTAGATGAGGCATGGACACATTTTAATGACATATAGTTCACAGTATAATGTTTTGTTCTACCACACTATCAATAGTCAGAACTTCAGACTAAATGCGATGTTAAAAGTGGGCATGTCATGTTCCCGAGCCAAGGTGAGTGACACAATCTCCACTCTAACTGTGATTGTGCTGATTTCCCACAGGTGAGGAGCGGAGGGGGCGGCAGCTGCAGGAGATTCCAATCAGGAACTCGGGTTTAAAAGGAGGACGAAGACACCTCACTACGCTGGATGATTGCACCAGTTTAGGTAGCCCCAGCCCTTTGTACTTGTACTTGTACTTGTACTTGTACTTGTACTTGTACTTGTACTTGTACTTGTACTTGCACTTGCATGCTCGCTTTGACTCGTTTTTGGATACTTGGATTTTGACCTCGGACTGATTTGTGGATTACGTTTTTGGATTACCCCTTACGTCTGGTGTTTGTTTCCCTTCCCTCAGGATCCTCACACAACCTGCTTCACCCTCGCTGTTTTCAAACTCTGGATTACATACACCATGTCCCATCCTCCTCCGTTGTTCCTGTTTGGTCCCTCTCTGCTACCTCACCCATCCCGGATCGCTCACCCTCTGCCCAGCGCTCACCTCGGCTTCCTCGGCTCCCTCATTCACCCCGAGCGCTACATGGACTCGAGCTGCACCGCTCACTCCCACAGGACTTCCCTGTGCTATTTTTATTCCCGATTTTGAATAAAGAACTTCTTTTACTCAATCTGCCAGACGATGATTCTGATTCTGCACGTCTTGGGTTAGGCACTTACCTCATGTCATGACAGGGCAATACAGTAAAATATAACACATTTTAGCCAAGATTTTTTTCTTCAAATAAATCTACAGACATAAGTGTTCTCAAAATAAGTTTCAACTAGTAATCCATACATCCAATCTAATGTTCATAATAATACCTAACTAGAAAAATCCTGAAGCCGTTTAAAAAGTGACCTTCCCGCTGGCACAAGACAGTTGGCCACGTGCTTTAGAGGCCAAAGAAGGATATTTGGGTGACGTTGGGGTGATCGCCCTAAAATCATGACATGCCACTCTTTCCATGGCAAGCCGGTCGTTTTGATGTAACATTTGAGGGGGTGCGCGCTCCTAATCGAGATCATTTTCTCCGGTGAAGAGGAAGTGGCTGCACACATATGTAGGAGTTGTTAGGCAGACTGAGGCATGCACACACCCAAAATGAGAAAAATTTCAATGTTTTTTGCTTTTTTTTTTTTTTCATCCAATCACATTATTTTTGGGGGGTGCATGCTGCCGTTTGAGCCGCATTAACGTCCGTGGAAGAACAATAATAAAGGGAACAAATCCTCCGGTGAAGAACAGTAAGGGCCCTGCTGGCAGAGCAGCAGGTCCATTAATGAAAAAGGTGTAAGATGATGAGAAACTAAAAGCATCGAAATACATTCAAATGATCAGCTAGCTATGTGAGCTTGTCTGAAAGGTGAGGAGGGTACCATTACACTCAGTCCTCTTTAAAAATTAACTTGGAAAAAGTTGTTTGCAAATGAATAAGTGTTACGTAAGAAGAATCCTGTGTGAGAAGAATCCTGCTGAAGGCCAAAGGTCTGGTCAGAGAGCTAACTGCTAACAGGAATCCTACAAAATCCTAGCTTTGTGAGTCTGTGTTGACTGAAGAGCAATACAACGAAACGTTCCTCTCTCAAACACGTTATACTGTAGTGGCTGTAAAGGTCAAGAGGTCATCTGTAAGAATGCAGGATATCTATCCACCCTTTAGACTAAATTATTCTAGTCAAAGTCTGTGATGAATGTATGCCAACTTCTGACTTGCAGCACCAGCAAAAGCAGCTAAATCTGAGTTACATTTGCAACCATGAATGCACGTACCGAGCTTAAGGAGCCAGCCCTCTCTGTCGGGGTTGAAGAACGTGTGTGTCAGATCGTTCCCATCATCCTCTGGGATTTTGAAAGGCTCGTTTTTGATGCTGTCGTAAAGGTTCTGCAGAGAGGGGAGGGAAGCTATTCATCAAAGTAGGAAACAGGTGGGTATATATGTCGATGGGTGGGACACAGAATATCAGTCACTACACGTGCACTCACACACACACACACACACACACACACACACACACACAGCTGGGGAAGGACACGTGCGCACACACACACACACACACACACACACACACACACACACAGCTGGGGAAGGACACGTGCACACACACACACACACACACACACACACACACACACACACACACACACACACACACACACACACACACACACACTACAGACAAATCCTCACCCTGAGAAGCTCCTCTGGCAGGTCCCCTCCTCCATTGATGCCCCTGTTCATGGAGATGAAGCGCTCCACGGGGGGCTTGTCTCTGACGTTGGGGTTGTGCAGACTGGTGTTCAGCATGATGATGGCGAATGACAATACATAGCAGGTATCTGTAAATGGAACGGATTAAAAATGTTTGACGCTTCCTGCTGTCAGTCTTCAGCTTATCGGTATTTTAGTAATTCAATTCAATTCAATTCAAAAATACTTTATTAATCCCAGAGGGAAATTGATTAAGATGACACTTAGCTGATTAAAAAAAGTGAGTCGTCTGAGACAAAAACTGAGAAAATACTAAAAGCGGTGAGTAAAAAAGGAATGTGTGTGTGTGTGTGTGTGTGTCTGTGTGTGCACACGTGCGTGTGTGTATGTCTGTGTGCACACGTGCGTGCATGTGTATGCCTGTGTGTGTGCATGAATGCGTGTGTGTGTGCGTGCCCATGTGTTTGTTTGTCTGTGTATGCATGTGTCTATGTGTGTATGTGTGCGTGTGTGTGTGTGTGTGTGCCCATGTGTGTGTATATATGTCTGTGCATGCGTGTGTGTGCCTGTGTGTGTATATATATGTGTGTGCATGCGTCTGTGTGTGTATGCATGTGTGTGTGCTTGTGGTCATGTGTATGTATGTCTGTGTGCATGCTTGTATCTATTTGTGTGTGTGTGTGTGCATGCATGCATACATGTGTATGCGTGAATGCATGTGCATGTGTCTGTGTGCATGTGTGTGTGTGTGCATGCATGCATACATGTGTATGCGTGAATGCATGTGCATGTGTCTGTGTGTATGTGTGTGTGTGTGTGCCTGTGTGCGTGTTTGTGTCTGCATGTATCTGTATGCACGTGTGTCAATGTGTCTGTGTGTGCATGCATGTACAGGTTCTTCTAAAAAAATTAGCATATTGTGATAAAGTTCATTATTGTCTGTAATGTACTGATTAACATTAGACTTTCATATATATTAGATTCATTACACACAACTGAAGTAGTTCAAGGCTTTTATTGTTTCTAACATGGATGATTTTGGCGTACAGCTCATGAAAACCCAAAATTCCTATCTCAAAAAAATAGCATATTTCATCTGACCAATAAAAGAAAAGTGTTTTTAATACAAAAAAAGTCAACCTTCTAATAATTATGTTCAGTTATGCACTCAATTCTTGGTCAGGAATCCTTTTGCAGAAATGACTGCTTGAATGCGGCGTGGCATGGAGGCAATCAGCCTGTGGCACTGCTGAGGTGTCATGGAGGCCCAGGATGCTTCGATAGCGGCCTTAAGCTCATCCAGAGTGTTGGGTCTTGCGTCTCTCAACTTTCTCTTCACAATATCCCACAGATTCTCTACGGGGTTCAGGTCAGGAGAGTTGGCAGGCCAGTTGAGCACAGTAATACCATGGTCAGTAAACCATTTAGCAGTGGTTTTGGCACTGTGAGAAGGTCCCAGGTCGTGGTGAAAAATGAAATCTTCATCTCCATAAAGCTTTTCAGCAGATGGAAGCATGAAGTTCTCAAAAATCTCCTGATAGCTAGCTGCATTGACCCTGCCCTTGATTAAACACAGTGGACCAACACCAGCAGCTGACATGGCACCCCAGACCATCACTGACTGTGTGTACTTGACACTGGACTTGAGACATTGTGGCATTTCCCTCTGCCCAGTCTTCCTCCAGACTCTGGCACCTTGATTTCCGAATGACATGCAAAATTTGCTTTCATCTGAAAAAAGTACTTTGGACCACTGAGCAACAGTCCAGTGCTGCTTCTCTGTAGCCCAGGTCAGGTGCCTCTGCAGCTGTTTCTGGTTCAAAAGTGGCTTGACCTGGGGAATGCGGCACCTGTAGCCCATTTCCTGTACACGCATGTACACGGTGGCTCTGGATGTTTCTACTCCAGACTCAGTCCACTGCTTCTGCAGGGCCCCCAAGGTCTGGAATCGGTCCTTCTTCACAATCTTCCTCAGGGTCCGGTCACCTCTTCTCGTTGTGCAGCGTTTTCTGCCACACTTTCTCCTTCCCACAGACTTCCCACTGAGGTGCCTTGATACAGCACTCTGGGAGCAGCCTATTCGTTCAGAAATTTCTTTCTATGTCTTACCCTCTTGCTTGAGGGTGTCAATGATGGCCTTCTGGACAGCAGTCAGGTCGGCAGTCTTACCCATGATTGCGGTTTAGGCTGGGAGTTTTTAAAAGCCTCAGGAATCTTTTGCAGGTGTTTAGAGTTAATTAGTTGATTCAGATGATTAGGTTAATAGCTCGTTTAGAGAACCTTTTCATAATATGCAAATTTTTTGAGATAGGAATTTTGGGTTTTCATGAGCTGTATGCCAAAATCATCAATATTAGAAACAATAAAAGGCTTGAACTACTTCAGTTGTGTGTAATGAATCTAATATATATGAAAGTATCATGTTTATCAGTACATTACAGACAATAATGAACTTTATCACAATATGCTAATTTTTTGAGAAGGACCTGTATGTGTAGATGTGTCTGTGTAGGTGCATGCGTGCATGTGTGTGCCCAAGTGTGTGTGTGTGTGCATGCATGTGTGTGAGACAGACTGTGCAGCAGACAGGTTTACCGTCTCCCTGCTGTGTTTTAAAGCTCTCAGACTCACACAGACCAGCGGCTGCTTGTAAATGAATCATTCATTCTCTCCTCATGTCTCTGTCTGCTCACACGACACACTTGCATCTTCAACCATCTATTGTCCGTCTCCCCTCAGAAAACAAACGTGCTCCTCAGTATGTGGAGAAAATCATGATGGGGCTAAAATCATGTGGTTAAAAATTAGGGCTGCATGATATTAGGAAAACCTGTGATATGCGATAACAGTGATTAATATTGTGATGACGATATTACTTGTGATAAATAAAAACCTAACTCCGGAACAAAAATAATCAAAAACAATTACATAAAAAATTACAAAAAATATCATAAAAATGAGAAAATCAAAAGATGTGAGGAAAGGGAAAAAGAAAATAAACAAGAAAAGGCAATCAGTGGAAAGGCTGAATCAGCAGAAATAGCAGAACAAAACTAACTCAGGTGTTTGCTAACCGTCAAAAATAAGTGCCGTCCGCCTCGGGGGTGGGCGTCTAACCTATGAGAACCCACCTAATTGGCCAAATGGGTGAAGAGTTTTATTTGATTTGTTAAAAACACATCATGCCTCCGTTTGATTGACAGAATGCATTATGTACAGCAAACATTTGAGCTGACCATTCATTACAATATTTATCTGTTCTTTGCGATATGCATATTGCGCATGCTGATATCACGATAACGATATATTAACGATAAATTGTGCAGCCCTATTAAAAATCCTCTAAGCAGGAGACAAGCTGCTCCCTCAGGCTTGCGGTAATCAAGTCTGTGATCATGTTGTCTTTTGGTGAACTCACGGCATGATGACTGTCACAGACAAAACCTCATGTTGATACCCCCCCCCCCCCCCCCCCCCCCCACACACACACACACACACACAATGATATATTCATGCATATTTGCAGACGGGACCACTGAGATTACACTAAAATCAATTAAGTGCAAACTGTCTCACCATCAAACAAAGTGCACATTTTAGAAGAAGGACTAATTTAAATACATCTTATTGAGAAGTGCTTGCATGCCTTCACATCTATGTTTTTAGCAGATGCAGGTCAGCAGGTGATCAATTAACACAAAGCACAAAGCCAGCCAAGCAACCTGCCTCCATGGAGCCACATCCACTTGCAGCAGCAACACACACAGTCTCTAAAAGCTATTTAGTTATTCACTGACAGATGTAGCTGAGGGCTGTTGTTTTTTATATCACTAAACCATGTATCACTCAGGCTGACTCGTCCTGCATTATGGATGACCCGTGTTTGTTTGTCGCTTCATGTGAAGCTGCAGCCAGCTGCAGTCTGTGGTTACTTTAATCTGGTTAATCCACACTGAGCCTTGGTTAACAGGAACTCTTATGGCTTAAAGATGGAAATGCTTTTTAAAAAACAGGCCATCACTCATCCTATTACAACTGCATGTTAGTCATAATTTGGTCCAACATATTGGACTGCACGATCAATGTGTAGAATTTACTTTTAGTTTCCAGATGTGCACCAAAATCCTTTTGAAATAATGAAATTAGAATTTGATCTGAAAGTTTTCCTGCTGTAATTATGGTGACTGAGACCATTTAGAGCTTAAAGTGTATCATTAATGTTCTTTAAAATGGTAGAAAAACATCATCTAAGGTCAAAAAGTTACTTTGGTTGTCCTTTCAGGTTTTCAGATAACTAGCAGGCGTTTAAAAATACTAAATCAGGGGAAGTGGGCAGGCTTCCCTAAAAAACGCGCGGACAGTTGTACAATGTAACAGATGAATGTGCTAAACGTGTGTGAAAATAATAAAATGATGTTTGAAGTTGTGTTCATGAAAATGTAAAAAAATGATGAAATCTGCAGCATTGGTAAACAGAGTTCATCTGAATTTATAGGGTCAATAACTTAACTATATTTAATCACTTGTGCACGGTTTGTCTCGATTTACAGCCTAAACTAGAACAATGGGAGGAAGGAAGAAAAATAAGCAAATGAAGCAAAAAATAAAAAATAAAAGTAAGAATAAAAACTAACGTAACAACAGTAACAAGAAATAATGTCTTTTAAAAGCAAAAAATACATAATTCGACAATGGGCGACAACGTCCTCTGCTGCCCGCAGATAAACGGAGAAGGAAGTGACGCACCACCATCAGCGTCAGCCTGAAGAAGCCGGCAGCCGTCGGCGAAACTGTAGCTACAAAACAGGTAAACAAAACTGTTTCTGTGTTTAAAAAAGAACGAAAGCATGGAAAAAATACATAAGATTGAAGGGTTGATGTATACATTTTCTGCACTAGACAGAGGGAGCTAAAGCAAGCTATGACATCACAGACTGATGGTGACCTAGCTTTGTTGCTGCTGGACTAGGAAGTATTATTATTATTATTGGAGTGTATTTTTTTTACTTTGTTGCCTATTTAGAATCAGTTGGCTTGTGTTAGCATTAGCCTGTTGTTAGCACTAGCTACAGCAGGTGATTCTGCTTTCAGCCTGCAGGAGGAAGAAGTGGGAAACTAATTTAGTGTTTTTTAAATGAACAAAGGATGAGTCTAACTGGAATGCTCTAGCTTTCCTCCACCACCGTGGCTACAGGCATGGAGGAGGAATGACAGCTGGTGCTGACGGGCCGCTGGAGCCCTGAGAGAGGACGCTCTGCTTTACGCCACAGTGACCTGACCTGTCGACTGGAACACTCCAGGGTTGCATTGGCAGTAGCGCGATGCGAACGCCTCCATCATACGGTCGATCTTCTGGGCTTCACCCGGCAGGCGGAAGCTCCACAGGAACTGCCTGCAACAGAAAGGTGTGGAGGTGAGCACAATGCAGCTGATGAGGACTCCGCATCTTCACATTTCTATCCCACCGTAGGGCTTGGACGAGGTTCAGATCTGCAAACTCATGAAGCTCCACGAAAGCCTGGAGCACCTTGATGTTGAAATCATCCCTAGTTTGAGAAAGAGAGACAGAATCAGGAGGAGGTTTTTTACTGCATGTATGAACCCTGAAAGAAGGGATTCTGTATCCAGAAAGCAGTTTTCTCTGCATTCCTGTCATATCTGTGCTCTTATTCAGACCTTCTGCAGGTCTGGAAACAATTGAAGCAGCTGCTTATGCTGAGGAGGTGGGGGTGGGGCCACATTAAGGCTGGAGGAAATAATACAAAAAACATTTATGGAATAAAACCCACGCAGACTATTGTTGTTTGGCTGTTGGGGAGTTTTTGTTGAAAAGTCAACATCTGCTTTCTGCCTGCGGTCCAAGTTTCTCTGATCTACGTCCATCACTCTGAGCCGGAGTCAGGGCAGGTCTCTTCTAACGCAGACGTCTTCTAATGTGGCCTCCTGCTGCTGAACCAAACCACAAACTCACGGGGAAATAACGCTGGATGGTTTATGTGCAGGAAGACTGGGAATTTTTCCATCCTTGTATAGAAAAGTTGTGTCTTGTCCCTTTACTTCTGTCGGATCAGAAGCTGTCCTCTGGAGGGTTTGCAGACTCGTTTTATTATAAAATAAAGTTCTCTGATTATCGGGCTCCTGTTTTCCACCTGTCTCTTCCTCCATTTGGTTCCTGCTCAGCATATGACTGCTTCCTGCTCTTTGCATTAAAGCTTAATTAGAGATAATTACTGAGGGTAGACCCTCAGCCTGCGGTTATTGGGATTTCTGGTGACTAGGGGCCTCTTTGATACATTTTAATAACCATCAGAAACCCTTCCTGGGTTTTTGTACTAAAATAGGTCAAATAAGCTTTAAAATATTCAAATATATGAAACGCTGTTAGATAAGCATTTAAGATCATAGAAAGTCATTTATATTACAAACCTGTGACATTTATACAACCCCCTTAGGTTTCATAATGGTTTAGATGTCCCTGCACCTGCGTCTGATTTCAGATGCACACATCTCTAATGCAAACATGCAAATGAGCTCCTCCTCTTCTTCTCCACAGCTCGCCTGGTTGTAGCTGCTCACGCCTCCCTATGTTAGATGAATCCTCCTCACGATCACTGTGAAGGTTTGATATTGTCCTTCAGCAGACGGCCTATTTTCGGTCAATACGAGCACGGATTTCCACCACGTGCATGCTCAATGTGTTTTCTGTGCCTGAAAAATGAAGTGTATGACACACGTCCTTCATCATGGGTCCAGGTCCTATTTGCTGTAACAATTTCTGCCTCGGCCAGTGCCTATGTCAGAGAGTCAGGAGACACCAGACAGGTCCCCCTTCCATCACAGGGACAGACACTCACTCACTATCTAGCCTCCGGTTAACCTGACATGCTGTTTTTGGTCTGCAGGAGGAAAGCAGAGAACATGCCAACAGCATGGAGGATGGCCGCCGCTGGGTTCAACCCTTTCACAGCGAGGTAACAGAACTAGCAACAGCACCCCCATGCCCAAATGCATCCTCAAATCGTTGCCAGCTGGTGGTGGTCGGAGGGACCGGTGGCGCCTGTGCTCGGCAACCTCGCCTCTGTCAGTGCGCCCCAGGGCAGCTGTGGCTACATCGTAGCTCATCCCCACCAGTGTGTGAATGTGTGTGTGAATGGGTGAATGACTGATTGTGTTGTAAAGCGCCTTGGGGGGTTCCAGGACTCTAGAAGGCGCTGTATCAAATACAGGCCATTTACCATTTATCAAATAAATGTAGGCGTTCCACAAAAGCCAGCTGTGTTCTGTAATGAAGGTTCTGGTTGCATCTCAAACAGAAATGAGTTAAAACATCGTCACATTCAGTCCCACAACATCATCAGTTAGAATATTTTTGGAGCTTTTGGCAGCAACACGAGGTTTAGCTTGTCAAAAACATGGCCTCTAAAAATGGTTCCTATGACAAAAGGCATATAACTAACTAGTAACTGGCATGTTCACAAGTACACATCCTCCCGTTTGATGGAGGGAGTCAAAACATTTGATTGTTTGTGATAAAAAGACTGGTTAAAAACAAAACATAAAAATAAAATAATTATTATTTTGCTTTGTGACATTTTCAGCTCTGGTTGCTCTGCGCTGTCTTTCGTTTCTCAACGATCATCCATCGATCACAGATTAAATCTGGTCTTTCTCAGATCGATTTTGACTTGTTGTTTTTACTGAAGTAGACATGCTAATGCTAACATATTAGCACTTAAGTGTGTTGATGCCACTGAGCTCTAGAGCTGGATGATGAACTAGTGGACTCACACTGCTTCAAAGATTTATTCATAGGGTGTTAAATCCTGTTTTCACCCTTCAGTTAGGGAATCTAATCCAACAATATCCTATTAAAGCAACAGTAAGAGGTGTAAATCTCCCATGTGGAGGGCTGTTCTCACCGCTCGCCCAGGTAGTCGCCGATGACTGTCTTGTTGAGTCCCTCGCCTTTGTAGAGGAACTGAGCGATGTCCTCAGGAGTGTGCTGGAGGAGGTCGTTCTCCAGCAGGAACTGGATCCCCTGAAGGAAAAACAACAAAAAGGTTTTGCTGCAGTCATTCATAAATGATGGGAAATGACAGGATTTCACACATGAGAGTGGCTGGCTGTGCACTCCAGCATGGAAAGTAATCGGCTGCTGAGACGCTGGAAGTTTGGATAAAAGGGAGAGATAAAGACACGAGCACCTTTTTGGGATCCATGTTGAATTTCTTTCTGCCCATAGCGATCTGTTTGTTTCTTTGGGAAGTTTTGCTGGAACACAAACATAAAAACATTAAACAACACTTAAATCCCAGAACTTCTACTGAAAAATGGAAATAAACTAAATTATTATTATTGATAATATAAAAAATTATCTCCTTTGAGCAACTTTGCGGAACATCAACACAATAGAAGCACTTTGGGATAAATTAGGTTTATTAAACCCATTCAGTCATTTTTTAATTTACTTGTTTATGCCTTGCAGTTGCAACATTTCCAGGTCACTGAAATGAACGTAAAAAACTGTTCACACCAGGTTTGAGCTACCGATAAATAACATGACTCAGCATTTCTACATACCTTTCCCCAACACATGTCAGCTGCTCGATTTCCGTCATGACCTCTGAGATCTCAAACTTCAACCTCTGAGAGAAACATCAAAGCAGCCGATGAGATCAGAGTGAATAAGAACGTCTGCGTCGGACATGTCTTTGTTCTGATGAGTAAACTACAGAGATAAACATGTGACCTGTTTGCACTGATGACATCCACCATGCTGAAGCAGACAGTTCAAAGGTCAAATATTACATTTAAAGATCAAAACAAAAAGGTCAATAACTTTTATGATGTATAATCAATATACACTGGCCACCCTTGGAGACATCCCATTCATTACAGAAACACTGAAGTATCACCGCTGGTGGCAAGGACATCCTCAATGTCAAAATATAAAAGAAGAACATAGCTTCCAGAGATTCTTCCAAACCTTCTACACTTTTTAATGTTTTTATTTATTTCCATTTTGGATGACAGGGTCTAGAGAAAGTGAGACCAACGTAGAAGAAAAGGCAAAAAATAAAATAACCACAATTGTTGCTTTTGGTTTAGAGCGAACTGCTGCTACATCGTTTCCGAAGAACTTCGTTTCACAATTTTCCATTCAAAGTTGTTTTTTATATGTCTCCATGTCTTACTTCAATTTTTTTCCCATCAAAGACTCAAAAAGGCAATTTGTGTGTTAATGGGAGGTTCAGATGCAGAGAACATCTGAAGTTGTGTGCATGGCGTGTTAGCAAAGCATCAAATCAGATAAAACTCTTTTTATTGTCACTGTAACGTCCAGCAATGGTCAGTTTTAGGTACAGTTTGACCTTTCAACATCTGGTCAACATCTGGTCAAACAGGAGACACAAGACTGCATGTGTTCCCTTTAAATGAGCCTGCCTTCATACCAGCTGGAGCTCACAGACTCTGCAGCTCTGATGACAGATAACGACATGTCAACAATAACTTTCTTCCTCAAGGCCTCCACATAAGGAACACTCCAGCTCGGATCAGTTGCTAAATTCAAGAATGACTTCCTAAATCAATATGAACTTCTTCCATGACTTATAATATAGATAATCATTAAATAAACGTTTGTTTATTGCTACTTATAACAATTATATTATAATGAAATGCTTCATTAATCTGTGCTCAATGACTTATGTTTTAAACGAATGTTATGTCTACAATGACTGCAGTGTGGTTCTGCATGTTTATATTGCTGCATGTTTATATGGCGAGGTCATAACATTTGCACTCACACCATAACAAGTAAGGGTACGTTAAACTCTGACACATAAATAGTCTTTTACCCAGTCCGAACATCCGGTCAAAGAAGTGTTTCTGAGTTGTCTTGGTAACTTCTCTCAAGCCTGTCAGCCTCTGATTGGCTGTGCAAATCATAACATCAAAACCTTAAAACTGGGTCACCCTGGGTGATTCGGCAGTTCTAGAGAAAGCTTCAGACCGGCCATCTGAAGCAAAACCTCCTTAACCATCGAAGGTTTTGACACGTCGTCAAAACCTTTGTGCACCTGCGAAGCTGATAAGCAACAGTTCCTGCAGAACAAACCTAATATTGTTAGACTCCTTAAGAGTCCACCAGACGCGCGGTTCCATCCTCTGTTGTGACCTGGAGATGACTCTAAGACCGGTTTCGTGAGGCTGCAGTTTCTTCTACGGACCTCGGCGCCTGGAAGTTCGAGGACTTCGACATTCCGGATCTATCACGAGGGTCCCCGAGAACGGGTGAAGTAGACATGACAGATAGCGTCTGATGTGTCTTTGATAAGAACTTCATAGTTTATGCAAACCAAATTCTTTTACATCCAGAACTCAGCTTTAAGGAAGTTCTGACTAACACCACACTGACACATAGGTTCATACATCGCATTTAGTTCCATCCACTCACAGTAAATGTTAGTTTACTTGTCATGTTTTAATTGTTTGTAAAATAAATTCTTACTTTTATAAACCTGACTCTTATTGGAATAAAAACAAAGTGTGCACAATTACTTAATAAAGCAAAAATCCTAGAATCTTCTGATAAATACAATAAAGACCAAGCAGGGTTGATATTTTATATTTAAATAGAGTATCACAGCTTATTGGTCATAAGTAGAGGTAATATATCTTGAGCTCTTAAAGCACTCAATTTACCAAACGCTACATCACTAATAACAGGTTTGGACATTACAAAAATCAGCTGCTCCACGGTAAAGTCAGTGATTCGGGACGATCCACTCAATCAGAAAAGTAACGACTTCTTGTAGAAAAAGCAGAAAACGGTTTCTCAACCCAGGAAACAATCTACAGAGAACTGTTTTGATAGTAAGACCATTTCTGGATCCTGTCCATCCGTTTTCTGAAGCGCGTCATCCTATAGGATCACAGGGAGCTGGTGTGTGACTCCAGCATCGGGACATGTCTCTGGTCCATCACAGGGACACACAGAGAGACACTCACTCAGACCCAGTCAGAGTCTCCAATCACCCTATCATGAATGTTTTTAGTCTGCAGGAGGAAACTGGAGTATCCAGAGGAAACCCTAATTTCACACAGAAAGGCTGCAGCCGGGATTTAAACCTGCAACCTACTAGCTGAACAGGGCTACCAGCTGCACCACCATGCAGTCCCATTTCTGCATCCTCACCACTAATCTGACACATTTTGAAAATGACTGAAAAGAGGCACAGCTTCTATAAACAAACGGCTCCTTCCACAGGAGACAGATCTCAACTGTTTCACTTTAAAATAGTAAATCTGTAAAAGACACGTTCTTGGTTTGAATAATCTTTAACTTATTGTAAATCAAGCCATCATTTAACAAAATTTGAGAGGATCTTTTCAGGTCACGCGGTCACTCGTCTGATGATCAGTGTCACTGCTGCACGACGCACCCATCATGGCTGAAAACACACCTCAATATCGTCCAGCAGCTCCTTCTTCCTCCGTCGGATGTTGGACAGCTCGTCCCTCTCCACCAGGGACAGATCCTCTGGAACTGAAAGACAAGCTCAGATTTGTTGGCAGCTCACATTTCTATCTCCATTCAGCTTTTACTGAATCCTGCTTCAAAACTAAACCCAATCAAATAAAGACTCATTTGTCACATGAAGCCAAGGGATAAAAAAATACAATAAACAAACGTAAAAAAGAAACTACAAATGAGTTAAATGTCAGATTTAAGAACCGTCTGCCTTTGGGAGCTGCAGCTGTTTCGCCTTGTTCCGCCGGAACAGCAAATATCACGAGTCTGTAAGTTTGCCTTCATTAGGAGTCTTAATTACTCCACTCTGCCACGTCCCTCCTTCTCCATTTGGCTCAGGGGAATCTGCTATTAATAAAACTAATCCAGATTAAGTTTTCGTTCATCAAATCTGAATGTGGGAATTTAACGCAGCCTGCGACCCAGATTCCTCAGCCAAGGGTGAATGTCTCTGCTTTGTGGTTTTTAGTCTGGATTTTCTTCCATCCAGCTTTTATTTGGACTTTTTAAATTCCACCCTAAACAAACTCTAGCAATCTCCAGCTCTTTTAAATGTAAAAGGTCCAGCATAAACCTCTATAGATGCTAAAATACAAAACAAAAGGAACATTTAAAGCTGTGTTACTATAAGAAACAACAACAACATGACTTATTTTCCCCTCACAAGCTGGAATCTGTCTTATTTACAGTAAAACAATGTCGCTGAGCAGAAAAGGAGGATGCTCAGGGTATTGTTACAAATAAGGACAAATAAGACAAAGGTGCTTCTATTGTCCTGATTTACCGTGAGGAGGAACAGGTCTACAGCAGAGGCAGCTCTGGGATTTCCTTTAAGGAAAACCTTTAAATGGTCAGTAAAAGGAGGATCTGAGTGAACAACAGTTGCCTGTATTAAGAGAAAGATGCTAATTAGCATTGCTAACCTCCAGCTAGCTCTCAGCCCTTATGTAATACCACTGTGAGTGCTGTGAATGTGGTTTTAAACCCCAATTAGTGCTTTTAACAGTTTTGTTGACTCTTTAAAGTTTCATTAACCTAACCCCTTATCCTGCACTAAAAGCACTTGTGTTTGTCCTAAACGATAAGTGCTAGCTAATAGAAATTGGTAGCCTATCCGTCGGAGGGATTTGCATTTCCAGGACAATAAAAATACACATTCTAGTGTTCAGATTTCTGCTCATTTGATGCCTTTCCTTGAGCAGTAAAAAAAAAATCACTATAATATAATTTCATAAATAAATTTTAAAAAAATTCACATTTTTGTTAATTGCGAGGAAACGCATGATTTTGTTACTTGACTTGAAAAGTTCTAACACCTTAGAGTTAAAGCTTTTGTTGGGGGGGGGCAGCGCTGACAACATCAATGGACCGATAATAGAGACACAGACAGGGTTATACACACATGAGCTGGTTGATAGGAGACGAGGGGCAGGTGCATGGGGAATTGGGCACAGGTGAAAACAATGAACTGAGGAGAAGCAGAAATACGCAGGGGAGGGGAAGGTGTCAGTCTGGGAGTCATGACAATTCATAAAAATAATCAAACATTTAGGTGATTTCTGAGGACTAGGCTCATGACTGTTACGCTAATAGCTAGTGAGAAGTAAGCTCTCAAGTTGTTTCTGTATACGATGTGATTTTTCTTTCCTAGCTCCAACACACCAGATTCCATGGTTGATCACCAGTTCAGCAGGCCATCAAGCTCTGCAGAAGCCTGTAAATCACCTGCTGATTAAAACCAGGTGTGTTGGAGCTAAAACATCCAAATATTTCAACTGAATAGCCCTGAATGAATCAGCTACAAACGCATCAAATGATCCAGTAGTTCCTAAATCTAGGGTTGGGAGTGTGTGGTCTTGAGAAAATTAGCTGAAATTAAATAAATAACAGTTACAAATGGAGTTTAATTGCTGCAAAATAAAAAAATAATTGCTATTAACAGGTTAAATATTGTATGCTGGTTGGCTTGTTTCTGCACTGCGACCAGCAATATTTGGATTTCTGTTTATTAGTTTGTGGCTCCAAAGCTGAAATAACTGTGACTCACAGAGACACTTAGTGAGTTCACGTGGTGTCCAACTGCCTTATGCAAATCTTATATTCAGTCCAATTAGCTGCAAATGTTTGAAGTAATCCACCAATCATTCACAAATTCACTTTTGACACTAATCCTCCTTTACGAACACTGCATCAGCAGTCACAGAACTGCCCTTTTCCAACTAAAAACCACTGCAACAGGACTCTTTCTTGTGCATCTTCAATAATTCAGAAGCAAACTGCTCTAAAGACCACTTCAGCACTTTAACAATCAGCCAAGAGCAACAGGGCTCCTCTTGTTCTCCAAGCCCAGGGCTGTGCATTAGCAAATGGAGATTTCCGATTGCTGCAACATAAGCTTGATTACAATCTTGATTCATTACAAATCTAATGAAAAGAGGAGGGCGCTCACTTTAATAAGACTCCACCAACATTAATGGCAAAGCGCTGCCATTTCCTGTCAGTCTCAGCTTCTCTAACTGCATCAAATTTAAGTCTTTCAAAACCCCACATGTGATTATAGGGAGGCCCTGCTAACACTGTGTCTGGTCATGTGGGTGTTTTCTTCTGCAGAGGTGGTCCACTAATTTAATTATTACCATACTTCCTGTGTAATACTCCATGAGTGAGTCCAGGATGTATGTTTAGTGTATTTGGCAAGCACTGATGCAGGCTAAAGCTAACCGCTACCATTCTCAGATCAACTAAAATCCAAATAGGCGGAGATCACTGCTAACTGTTGCTCCTCTGTCCATGCTGAATGCTAAACTCAAGTGTGTTGTGTGGTTTTGACAGTAAACTTGAGTAAAATGGCAGCATGAGGACAAAACACACAGGCTGAGTATGATGAGTATGATAAAATATGTTACACGGTTGTTTTTAGGTATGACCCCCACATGCTCTGTCGCCATGCCCAGCAGTATTTACCCTTCTTTGTGTGCACTTACTCCACATCTGGACTTAGCATAGCAACTTTTTGCTCCGTTTTTTTCCAACAAATCTATGTTTACTTATTTTGCATCAATAGGTTCATGATTTTATGGTAACCTGTATTGGTTCCATTATAATAGAAGCAGTTTTTGTCTCGTAATTCATAAAGAGGAAGCCTCAAATGGAGTTTAACTATGCCGGGGGTCTTATTCACAGGTGAGGGAATGAGGGAGCAGGGCATTGGCAGGCGGATCTGGCCAGCTTCTGCTGTGATGATGAAGCCAACCCATTTGGTTAAATAGAAGGAGCTACGTCGAAAGGCAAAGCTCCAAATTTAGATGTCGATCTATATTTCAGACCTATAATCGAGCTGTGGGTGTTGACGACAACCAATTTCATGAATACAAGCAACTGAAAGCATTCCCCCCAGAGTGTCTCTGCATAGATATAGTCTGAGGAGGGCAGAAATCTCAAGAGAAATCCTTTGTAAAACTGCTGGACCTCCATGTTTAAAGGAGCCAGCTGAGGTGGTTTGGATGTTCACCTGGATGCACCCTGGGGGAGAAGTTTTGAGCATTTTCTTGCAGGCAAAGACCCAGTGGCAGACCAGGTCAAGATGGAGGGTTTATAAATCTAGGCTGGCCCAGGAATAACCGGGTATTCCACCGGAGGAGCCAGACAAAGTGGCTGGGGAGACGACAGTTTGAAAACAGCTGGGATTCCTTAATAAGGCTGTGGCCCCCATGACCAGGTAAATAGAGGCAAATGAGATGATAATTTAGATAACTCAGACTTCATTGTACATTCAGTTTGTACTTGGAATCAAAGATTCAGAAAGAGACTTGTTCACGAGTGAAGGAAAGATGGAGCGAGAGATCGACAGACGGATTGGTGCAGCGACTGCGGTGACGCGGGTGTTGTACCGATCCGTCGTGGTGAAGAGAAAGCCTCGATTCACCGGTTGATCTACGTGTAAAACCATCCCCTATGGTCGCGAGCTTTGGGTAGTTTCTGAAAGAATGAGATCGTGGATACAAGCAGCTAAAATGAGTAAGGGTGAGAAGCACGGTTATTCGGGAGGGGCTCCATCTGATGCCTCCACAGAACAAGAGCCTCCAGCCATTTCACCCTAACAACCAAATCCGTCCAAATCTGCTTTTAAGAGTAAATCCGATGCTGCTCTTCACACCCAAACCTACCAACTGTTGCAGAACACCCACTGAACCCAGAGGCGCTTCGGCTAAAGCGAGAGACTGTAATGACTCCTGTGGTGCTTTTCTCAGCCTGTGTCACTCAGAGCCAATCAGGTGTACAGAGCCAGAGAGAAAAAATATGTAATCACTTGGTAAAAAAACAAATTAAACGCCTCCCTAAAGCCAGTGAAAATCCTACGCTCGCTTAAGGCGGGCTCTGATCCTGACTCATGTGGTATTATCCTGATCCAATGATTTTAAATGGGCAACTTTACCCATTAGAATGAGTTTAAAGGGGACCAGCATAAAAATGTAAAAAGAGGACCTATTTACTTAATTTATCCTCCAATGTGCTACAATGCAAGGAAGCAAAGGAATCTTCCTGCGTGTCAGGATCCTAATCTGAAGCCTGTTGCTCCAATCCCTCTCGGAGCGGACAGACGCGCTCGGGTCATATTATATAGTCGGAGACATGTGGTGGGAGCGCACATGAGTGCAAACACTCCACCAGCTGGCTCTAATCCCACACACACACTCCCCAACGCTCTTCCAGCCCCGTACAAGGCGATCCAAGAGGAAGCGTGGTGTATAACTGCAGATGTTCCCACTGGATACCTGCTGCCCGACTTCAACATACTCTGACTCTTGATGAAATAATGGTAAGGCCTGATTAGCAGCAGACTATAGTGCAGGAAGATCGGCAAAGGCCAAAAGGGTCAGAGGGAAGGTTACAGGAAGACATGAGGGTCATATAAAGATAATTGAAACCAAAAATAAAACTCAAGCAACAGCCAATGAAAACGGTTTACATCTGACAAAAGCTCCAAATGTTATGAGCTGAACTGCAGCAGAGGC